GTTACTGGCTCTAAACATTTTGAGAAAAAGATTTTTTTTTTAAAACAGGAGAACAGAGTAAATTTACACATCTGCCTAAAATCTTATCCCAGGGCTGTACATCTTCATGATGATGATGAAGATCCACTTCAACTGTCTTTTTCAGAACACACTGGATGGATTCCTGGAATCATTGTTGGAGCCATTGTTGTGACTCTCCTTGTTGTTGCTGCTGTTCTGTTTGTTCTAATGAAGTCAGGGCGTTTAAGATGTGCTGATGGTGAGTTGGACTCTGGTTGAATTGCAGTAAAAAAAAAATCCTCACCCACACTTGTTTCTGTGGTATCAGTACTGTTCTGTTAATGTTCTGTTTCTGTTTTGCAGCTAAGAACTCCACGATCAATGGCACTACTAAAGACGCTGCTGTGGGTCGCCCCCTGGTGTCCACAGGTTGTTAACACATGCTTTATTCCATACATACATTTTCACTGAACAAGAAATTATATTTTTAAGTTTCAGATGTTAGAAAATAAATATAATTTAAAAAAGAGTGTGAGAATATTTTTGTTATTATTAAACGGACACAAAACTGACACACTGACATAAGATGGCAATCTTTTTTTCTTTTTTTTTAAAAAAATCATTAAAACATTTTGGTTTTTTTTTTAAATATTCAATACATATTCAATAAAGGAAGTCCAGTCATATTCACTTACTTTCTTTATTTAAAGATAATCTAATTTTGAAATATGTCGTTTAGACTATGATACTTGAGTTGGACACGTACAGTATGCTCTAATCAATGTCGCTTTGCCGTTTCTGTGAACCAACAACTCCCATTTACTGATGTTTAGAAAGAGCCTAGAGGCACTGGAAAATGTTTTAATTATGTCGACAGCTAAAGAAACCAGAGAAGCATCCTTCAAAGTGGTATCATCAGCTAACTGACTAATGATGATCGCTCAGTGATAGAGATACCTTTGAGATATAAGTATAATGAGAGCAGATCAGGAACAGGTAAGGGGAGACGGGGCAGCTTTGTTTGACCCCCTGCTTTAGGTCAAATCTGGGAGAGGTACAAATTCCATTGAATGATTAGCATTGTTATACATGGTCTTGATAGGTTCACTAAAGTAAGGGCTGAAACCACCTTTTCCCAAGGCTTGAAATATACAATTGTGCTTGATGGTGTCAAAAACCTTCCGGAA